CTGATTGGCTTAAACCCACCAATCAGAGTGTTCTTAGCGTATGTGCAGGGCGGGGCAAGGCTTTATAAGCCTTGCGGAGCTCATTCTGCGCGAAGCCCTCCATGGGTGAAGATGGATTATTTTTTTGCGCTCGGGTTTTTTCTTTTTCGTGGGGTTTTTTTTGCGCTCGGGATTTTTATTTTATTTTCAATTCGAAGGTTATGTTGGTTTTTTATTTGGCCTTTTTTGGGGCTGAAAAATGAATATTTGAGAAAAAAAAGAAGAAGTTGAATGGTAAGTTTAATTTTATTTTACAGGTTAGTTATTTTATTCCCCCCTCACTATTTTTTAGGGTGAGGGGGGTAGGTAGGGACTTTTTATTTGGGTGGGGGGGTGGGTGACTAGGGGCTTGGGGACCCCTAGTCACCTTGGTGGGGGGTGGGGGGGGGTGAGGAATTGACTTAGGTCCCCCACCCGCCGCCCAGGGGTGGGGGAGGACAGTAGGTCCCCAACCCGCCGCCCAGGGGTGAGGGAGGACAGTAGGTCCCCCCCACCTCATTATCATTTGGCCCCCACCCATCGCCCATGGGTGGGGGCAGGGGGGAGAACAGTAGGTCCCCCCCATTATCTTCATGGCCCCCACCCGCCGCCCAGTGGTGGGGGCCGGAGTGGGGGTGGACAGTAGGTCCCCCCCCTCATTATCTTCATGGCCCCCACCCGCCGCCCAGGGGTGGGGGACATTAGGTCCCCCCCCTTATTTTACTTTAGGGCCCCCACCCGTCGTTTAGGGGTGGGGGCCAATAGTTTTTAGGCTGCTCACTGTTTAGTGGACATGCCCCTACTCGCAGTATAGCGAGTAGGGGCATTGGGGAGATTTTAATCTCCCTTGTGCTATTATGGGGGTCATATTGACCCCCATAGAGTGGGGGGTTAATGAAGTGGTGGGGAGCACTGCTCCCTGCCACTTCTATAGTTACATATTACAAGGAGGGAGCGGTGCGCCGGCAGCTCCCTCCTTGTAATAAACTGCACGAACAAACGAACACTGATACACAGTGTTTGTTTGTTCGGCTGATATTTCTATTCACTCATTCGTCTGTCTGATGAATGAATGGATGAAATTCCCGTTCGCATGTCCAGGTGTTTCACTGGGCATGTGCGGGAATCTCACAGTCTGCCTAGTGAGGGCTGATGACGTGTCCCACAGGGACTTCATCTACCCACACAAAGATGACGGCGCCCTGAATATAGATCGGGGCAGAAAATAATATCGCATGGAATAGGATGTGAACTTATCGAATTTTTCTTACGAGTCTAAAAAAATATCCCCCCAACCAAATAGATTTTTTTAAAGCAAGGCATCCAGTTAATTAACAAAATAATTACTTCTGATTTTAAGAATGTGTTTTATTTGCAAATGAGAGGTAGCACGATCGGAACTAGGTTTGCACAAAAATCTAGCAACCTGTTCATGGAATTTTGGAAACTCCAACAAGTATATCAGGGGCATGGCTCGGTTGCAGATCAGGAGAACTACTGGCAGTACATATATGTTTTCTCCAACGATGGGGACATTAAATAAACTACCAATCTTAGTTATCGTATAGTACAGTACAATTATTAGCTTTAAACATTTCTATTCCGGACAGTAAAGTTAAGACCGTGTAATATACAAAATCACCAGGATGTACCATATTTTTCGCTCCATAAGACGCACTTTTTCCCCCTCAAAAGTGAGGGGAAATGTCTGTGCGTCTTATGGAGCGAATGTGAAGCTTGACTTACCTGTCTTGTAGCGTGGGCCGGCAGCACAGCGCGCTCCGCGGTACAGGAACTGAGTGTGCACTTCCTTTCAGTCTCGCCGGAAACAGGAACCTAAACTTGAAGTTCCTGTACCGCGGAGCGCGCTGTGAAGCCGGCCCACACTACAAGACAGGTAAGTAATTATGTGACAAGGGGAGGTGGTACTCTATGGGACAAGGGGAGTGTGGGACACTATGGGACAAGGGGAGGGGTGGACACTATGGGATGAGAACACTATTGGACAAGGGGAGGAGGGGTTAACAATCACTATGGGACAGAGGAAAGGGGGGTTAAAGATCATTATTGGACAGGAGAGGGGAGTGGGTGGTAAGGAACAAAAAATTCCTTAAAAAAAAATATTCTGAACAAACTGTCCCATAGTAAGAAACACAATGGAACAGTTCAGAATATTTTTTTTTCTGGGTTTCCTCCTCTAAAAACTAGGTGAGTCTTATGGTGAGGTGCGTCTTATGGAGCGAAAAATACGGTATTTATAAAATAGTAAGAAAAATAAAAAGTACAAAAGACAACAAAAACAAAGGACGGAGCCTGGCTCTCAGAGCACAATCTCCTGAATCCCTGGCAGATTTCCAGGGTGCTAATACCGACCAGGGTGTGGATCCTGCTTATACTGTGTGGTGTAGTAATATCCCCATCTCCCCCCCCTCCTTAAATATATATATATATATATATATATATATATATATATATATATATATATATATATATATATATATATATATATATATATATAT